AACGTCCCTGAGGATAATCGGAACCTTCAATATTATAAATTAATTTTTTAATTTTCATTGACAGATCATTTCTTTCAAACTTTCTTAAAGATAGTGGCGACCTTTTTAGATTACAGATTGATTTTTAAATTTTCCTAATAATTCTTACGATTTTTTTAATTACTAATTTAGGAGCGAAGCTAGGTATTTTCTTATGGAAGCGTAAGTAAAAAAAAAAAAAAAAAAAGAACTAAAATAATAGTTTAATGAATTTTATAAACCTTACAACACTATTTTTATTCTTTTACCATATACATCTTACTTAACGTTTTTAATACTATTGATATTTTTTTGTTTCATCTTCAAAATGGATACTGAGCATATAATATAACATTACGTTTTAAATTTTAATTCCTAGGAAGCTATGAAGTTATGGAGTAGTGTAGCTGAGTTTTAAGTTTGAAATATTCAATATGATAATTAAAAGTGAAAATTACAAGCTGTAGAATTGACACATTTTCTTTAACAAATTATATTTTTTTTTTGTAATTATAAAATTTTAAGGGCCGAAAAATGAGAAAAAAAAGTTGGAGAAAAAACTTTTAAATGAGAGGTAGATTTTAGTAAAAATTAGCTTAAGTTAATGTGGGTCGCACATGTACATTACTTATGCAGGGTAGGAGTACTTGCTAGCTACACCATTAGAAAAACTAACAAAATTATTTGACAATATTTATAATGGAGAAATCAAGAGGTATCACAGACACAAATATATTAGTTGAAGTAATTGAGAAAAAAGATATGAGAGCTTGCGACTTGATTTTGTGTGGGGTAAGGTTACTAATTGAACTCTTTTTTGTGGCTTATAAAAGTTATGGGCGCGTTTAAAACTCGTTCTAAAATGATTTTATTTTTGTATAAAAATGAAAATGAAAATGAAAACGTTTTCAATCTCAGACATAAATCATTTTTGAAAATATATTTGATAATTTTATTAAGAGATTGTTTTTAGTATAAAAAACTCATTAATGTCTTTTTCTCTCTCTCTCTCTCTGCTCGAGAGAGGAGAAAATGAAAAATAACTAAAAGTCACTTTTTATTTCGCTATCATTTTACACTAAACTAAAAAATCGTTTTTATTTTCATTTTTTGTCTTTATTGCGCCGAACGCCGTTTTAAAAACGTTTTTATTTTTTTTTCTCAAAAAAGTGAAAAATAAAAACATGATCAATTCCAAAGACGACCTATAAGTATTTCAAGTTTGCCGAATAATGATGGAAAGAATAAAGTGACGAGTTGTTACAAGTAAGCTTGTATATTCTTTACGATACAGTACACCATTTCTTGCGTCCTTCTAGTTTGCATGAGGGGAAAAGTTTTCCTTCGGTAAAACGACTTGTCGCTTGCTCATATTTAAAAAAACGACTTGTCGCTTACTTATATTCTAATTTAATTAGTTTTATTATTATTTTTCATTGGGTCCGTTTATCTGTGTCGTCCTATATTCTTCTATTCCCATACTGATTACTGCAACAAATTATGCAGCACTTCTTCCATACAGAAATTTTCAGAATCAAGAGCTAGCTTCAAAACGCTATTTTGTGATCATTAGAAATTTTGAATGAGAGCGTTTGAGAAAGAGTTGATCACTGAAACGACCATTAATTATTGATTAATCTAAAACAGAAACACAAACGATAGGCTAAAAAAAAGTTCAGTACTGGCCAAAGAGACACAAAAAACCTAAGTCATAAGTCATAACCTTAAGCATAGCACTATTCTCTCTTTTATTTTTTGTCAGTTTCAGTTTATGCATTTTCGCCGCATTCCGTGTCAACCGATGCTCTAGCGGTTATTTATTTATTTTATTTATTTTTTAAGTACAATTTTATGTTGACTGAATTATGGGGGTTTTTTTTTGTTTTTTTTGTTTTTTTTTGTTTTTCCAAATCAAAGCTATATATTATTGTTTCTTGATGAATTTTTAGTTTTTATGTCCTTTTTTTTTGCACGAGATCTTAAAGCTTCTTGTGTTCGTAGAGAGATCATTCAACAAGAACTGTGGAAAAACCAAAAAAAACAATTGTTGAGGGTGAAATAGTCAACATAATAATAACGAATTTGTTAACGGTTTGCATGAATTAAATAAGCTAAAATACAATTAAAAAGTGAAATTAAAGCAATAATACACATAATTTATAGTGGTTCATCATCTATTTGAGAGCTACGTCCACTGTAAGGAGAAGATAAATTTCACTATGATGAATTACACGAACTAATGTTCTGATAGAGACTTAGGAATTTTCTAACCTATTATAGCTTATTTATACCTTAAGTTACTGCCTCTGCTTGTTTTCTTATTTAAATTCGGGGATATTTCCCTTATCTTTTGGGATAGTTTCCCAAAAAATAGAGATTACAATCAATTTGGGCGGTTTCCGTATTTAAATTTCATTTATTTAAATTACAAATAGTAAATCTCGGAGGATCCTTTAGATCTTTATTTTCTTTTAACCTCTTCGTTATTGCTTGTGAGTGCGGTCGTCCTCATGTCCCCTTCTCACAACGGTCGACCTCATACTTATATCATATGTCTTATTATAACGACTGACTCCTAAAAAATCTAACGTGACTGTTAAGACTGAGTTGTGCTTGATATTTTTTTATGGCTGACGAGCCCTATTTAGAGTCTAATTTAGGGATCGACGTTTTAATCTACAACAATAATAATGTAAAATTATCATAGCTATGGATCGAATTCGAAACTATCTTTGAGATTTTCCCAAATAATATGCAGAACTATGTCTTTGCTTACGATCTTCTTGTAATTAAATATGCGCACTCTAAACGCAGTTATTAAATGGTTTTGATAAAACATTAAACACCCTGCTTAAGACATTGTATATTGTACAAAAAAGAACACACAAAATTTGTATTTTGCTGTATATGTGTGAGTGAATATGTACAATATCTAATTAATTATATGAAACTAATCTATATGCTATTCAATTATTTCAATACGAAGGAAAAGATCCATAATATTACTCCCTATTGTGTACTTAGCATATAAAAAACTTCAGTTGTTATTAAAATTTTGGCTTCATTCACTTCTCGAATTCAAGTTTTCAATTCGAGTTGAGATGTGATATTTTTTAAGAGCTTTTAACTGTAACAGAAAAACTTAGATGTGACATTTTATAAAAACTTTTAACTGTAAAAACTTAATATTGAAAACTCAAATCGGTGAAATTAACGAGATCTTTATAAATTCCTTCTATCACTTTAAAATTTTCCTTTCACTTTGAAAATTTCCTTTATATATAGCATTGAAAAAACTCCTGTTTTATTCACTGCGAAGTTGAAAAAACCGATAATCCATCCTTTAAAATCAACTTTTATAAAATTAAATATGATATAAAAAATATAACGTACAATACGCGGATACAACATACCAAACATACCGTAAACAATAAAGGAAAAGTTTACCCATAATAAATGCTCAATGAATAAGTTAGGCAACTAAAATTATAGTAGCGGTCGTACCCAGCGTGGTTCATTTTTTATTTGAATTTTTCTAAGAATAGTCTCAACATTTCGGATTGCAGATGAATTTTTCGGCCCATTTATTTTATTGATTTGAGTTTTGTTACAGTAAAAAGTTATCAGAAACAGTCACATATATATTTTTTATTATAATAAAAAATTCTCACATAAAGTCACATCTCAAATCGAATTAAAAACTCGAATCAGCGAACTAAACGGGCCAAATTTTCCTATTATTAATGCTCGGGACTTCAACTTTCTGAATTACAAATTCAGAAGCGAAGCTTGGTATTTTCTTATAGAGGCGTAAGGAAAAAATAAAATAAATAAAAAAAGTTGAACTAAAATAATAGTTCAATAAATTTCACAACACTATTTTTATTCTTTTACTATTTACATCTTGTTGAGGATGTTTAGTTTATGAATTTAAAATTATTCTCGATTTACGTGTATTTTTTATGAGAGAAAATACTGTAACAAATCACAAACCATGATTCGAGCATGAATTCTCATACCAAATGGACTGAGCATATGATTCCTAAATGGACTGAGCATATGATTCCTAAATGGACTGAGCATATAATTCCCAAATGGACTGAGCATATGATTCCTAAATGGACTGAGCATATAATTCCTAAATGGACTGAGCACATAATTCCTAAATGGACTGAGCATATAATATAACTTAATAGAGCATATAATTCCTAAATGGACTGAGCGCATAATTCCTAAATGGACTGAGCGCATAATTCCTAAATGGACTGAGCATATAATATAACTTAATAAGGTTTTAAATTTTAATTCCTAAATTCCGATTTTCCGAGAAAGCTATGAAGTCACGGAGAAGTGTAGTTGAGTTTTAGTTTATTTATATGCTTTTAAATTTGAAATATCCTGTACGATTAAACTAAAACTTACGAGCATTTATGTTTGTCATTTATATTTTTTTAAACCAATTCTATATTAGTTTTCGTAATTATAAAATTTTAAGGGTGGAAAAATGAGGGAAAGGTGGAGCAAAACTTTTAAATGAAGGGTATGTTTCAGTAAAATTAGCCCAAGTTAATGTGGCTCGCACATGTTCATTACTTAATGAAGGGTAGGAGTGGTGATTAATTGAAGTAATTAAGGAAAAAAAACGATAGCTTGCAACATGATTTTGTGTGGGAGTTGATAAAATTTATAAATCTTTGAAGTTGTTTGCCAAATAATCATGGAAAGAGTAAAGAACACGTCGTTTCTAGTAAGTGCGCCGTTCTTTTTTGCGTCGTTTTTGTTCGAATGAGCGAAGGGAATTTCCATTCGATCAAAATGACTTGTCGCAATTCCTTGTATAAGTTTTCAGAATCAAGAATCTTGAAAATCTCTTCAAATCATATAATTCTTCTTGGTAGCTTTACGCTTATGTTAAGTACCTAAAAATAAAATATTATAACGAGTCACGAATTATAACGAGTCACAAATTATAATTCAAATCATAGCACGAATCCTCATACCAAACATTTATTAACATTAAGCATAGCACTATTCACAGACCAAAGGAGAGACCAAAAAAACTAAAGTCATAAACCTTAAGCATAGCACAATTCACTCTTAATTTCTAGCTCTCTTTCTGGAAAGAGACCAAAGTCTCTTCCGTTCTGAACGTTTATTAACGTTACACAACAGTACTAGATACCAACACTACATACTAAATATTTTTCCTTCCCATTCCGACGTATCAAAGCTTGTTCCTGTACCAGAAAACACCTTTGTTGGGAGCATCATCATCTGGCTCAACATAGAGACACTCCTTTGCCTCCCTCCACATTGCCTTGAAAATCGGCGTCCTGTCGAAACGATAGTACTCTCCCAACAAAGGCTTCACCGCCTTGGTCGCTTCCATGGCGTTATAATGCGGCATTGTGGAGAAGAGATGGTGCGCCACATGAGTGTCATTGATGTTGTGGAAAACCCTGTTTAAAACCCCGTAATCTCGATCTACGGTCGCCAATGCGCCTCTCAGCCAGTCCCATTCCGACGAGTCGTAATGTGGCAATGCTGGGTGAGTGTGCTGCAAGTAGGTGATCAGCACAAGGAAGCCGTTCACGATCAGTAAAGGCACGCCGTACACGCATACGATCCAAGCCAAGCCTTTTGCAGCTGCGAGCTGGTAAAGCACGAAAGTTGTGACGAAAATCCCTGCATCAGAGACGAAGATTTGAAGCCTTTCACGGTCGGAGTAGATTGGACCGTAGGGATCGTAGTGGCACGCGAAACGGTCGTAGGGTCTCCCTGAGACGTTGAAGGCTAAGTAGAGAGGCCATCCAAGAGTTAGAGTGACAAGAAGGCTAAGAAGTCTCCCTGGAGGGTTGTTTAAGTACTTGGAGTACCATGAAATCTTGGATTTTGGTTTTGGAACAAAGACCTCGTCTCGTTCTAGGGATCCGGTATTGGAGTGGTGGCGGCGGTGGCTGTACTTCCAGGAGAAGTAGGGGACGAGGAGTGCAGAGTGGAGGATTAGGCCAACAGTGTCATCGACCCACTGGTGGTCGCTAAATGCATGGTGACCGCATTCGTGGGCGATGACCCAAATGCCGGTACAGACACAGCCTTGGACGATCCAGTAGAGGGGCCAGGCCAGGTAGGGGAGGGGGTGGGGAAGGAGGTGGAAGTAAGAGGTGGCAATGTAGTAGAACAGAGCGGCAAAGAAGAGGTCGTGACCAACGTAGGAGAAGGAGCGGACGAGGGAGCGCTTGAAGCAATGGGGCGGGATGGCTTTCTTGATTTGGCTTAGAGTGAATGGAGGGGTTGTGTGTGGCACTCGCTCAACCTGGCTCTTATGCCCCTCCAACTTGTTGCTGCTCAGCACAGGCATCCGGCCGCCGGCTCCCATCACGTTCCCTAAAAAAAAAAAGTTATTAGTCAAAGTTCAAGTAGGAAATTCAAGTGTATCCATTCTCATCTTTGATTAATTAGCCTAGTGATCTGCACATAAGGGTAAAGGAGACAAATACCCCTTAGAGTGCTTGAGTTTAGATTTTTACCCCACTCTTGATTAATATTCTTTTAGTCAAATAATTATATTACTCAAAAAGGTATTAATCAAGAGTAACGGATAAAAATCAAGACCTATGCACTCTTAAGTTTGGTAATTCTCTCTTCTCGCTTCCCAGTCGTCACATCGATCAACGATAGAAAATAAACACATGTTAGTTGTAAGAGTACCTACATTAAATATTAACTAATATTCCAAAAGAGTGTAGACATTGACCACTCATTGTTGTTTAAATTAGTACACATTATGTCCATTAATGTCTAAAGGTATCCAATGTATAAGGTAGAAAACTGTTGGGACCGTTTTCATTGCTTATTGTATAACGTAAAGGACTACTAGGACCAGCAATGTACGGAGGAAGGTACAATTTAATGTTCATTATTGTAAATGCCCAAGGTAGATCAGCGCTAGCTAGCTAGAACCAGCAATAACTTTCTTCAAGTTGGATACTTGGTAGAAAAGCAAAACCAAAGGATAAAAACTACAACATATAAATGTATAGATGACAAAGAGATATAAACCACACAATTTTTAGCCCTATAATAGCCTTTTCGTCCATCAAGGCACACCACACAAAGTGCTAGACAAAAATGCGAAAAAAGTTGTGAAATAACAAGACGTGCATAATGGCCAGAAGCTAGATTTGGTTTCTCTACATTTGGTAATCCAAGGTCTTGTGATTTTAGAGATGCACATTTCTGATAGTGCAAAAAGATACATGTGGTAGAACTATATACACGACAAAGTAGCAATGGGAGCCAAGGAAAGTGGACCATGGACGGTAGTGAAAAAAAAAGGGCAAAATTAATGATTTTGGACCTACACTTGTACATAATGTAATGTCACTATCAATAATCACAACCGTTAGATATGTAGAGAGAGAGAGAAAGAAATGGAAGGAGAGAGAATCTTAGCAGCGGCAACTGCATCTGCTTGCCAGAAAATTGCATGTTCAAATTTGTAAAAGTGCTTCATTTCTATTTGAGAACTAAGCAAAAAAGAGGAGGAATGTTTCTTGTTTTTGAGAGTTTAGATTATATGATGATATGGTGTGTCTGATTCAAAGTTGTGCTTATATATTATTTCTGAAAGAGTATAATACCAAAAAACCACAAAATGTCATTGATCAAAAAAGCACTTTGACAAGACTTTTTAATATTTTTTTATTGTTGATTAAAAAAGTTAGAAATTCACCCATAAACTTTTTAAAAATACGATTTCAAAAACTAGTTGAAAACTTTAGATTTTTTAAATAAAAAAAAAAGAAAAGAAAAAGACATGCCAGCTCAAATACGAATCTTAGAATAAGAGAGAATATGCCCACTTGGGTTGGGACATGACACTAAACCATATCAAAATTACCAAAATAGGCCAACACTTTTCTTTTTTTAAAAAAAAAAAAAAATAACTCAGTTTAGCATGCTAGATGTATTTGTAAAAACTAATTATAAATATAATCATTATTGACAAAAACGACAGGTGCTTGATCACGTAACACCTGTAACAGATGTAAGAAATTAGTGCAAAACGACAATGACAATAAAAGGACATGGATACTCAAAAAACTTTTTTTTTTTTTCATTCTTTTGCCAAACTTTACTCTATATATGAAGTGATGATGTTTCCAAGGAAAAAAAAGGTAACAAAATTGAACTCCGTGATATCCGTCAAAATTAAAAAAGAAAAAAACAAATAACAACTAATTTAGAATTAAAACAAATAAAAAGTGAAATTGAAGACTATTTCTTCATATTAAAAAAAAAAAAAAACAAACTTTCTGTCATTCCTTCAAAAAGAAGGGGATTAAAGTAAAGCCATCATGCAAATGTAAAATGCAATGCATGCCCCCTTTCTTGACCGGGAAAAAAGATCAGAAACGACAAAAAATCATTTGATTTAGTCAAAACAATTTTTTTTTCCCTTTTAGCAGAATATCATTAAGAGTTTGTCATATCATTCGCATCATTGCCGGATCCAGAAACTGTTAAGAAAACAGTATGGCTAATCTGTCTAAAAGAAATTCTCAAACCCAAACAGACAACAAAAATTTAGATGCATTTACCATTTAAACACCTAAAACTTTTTTTTCTTTCTTTTTTTGTTTTGTTTTTGTTTTCAGAGATGAAAAAACAATATCTACCAACAACAAAACAAAACATGCATTGCAACAGAAAAATAGAAAATAAGAAATGGGATTTGAGCAAGGAAGAAAAATTAACAGATGGATCTAGCAGATGAATGCTGGAAAATGCACTGAACATGATAAAAAATAAAAAATAAAAACCCAAAAAAAAAGAGGAAAAATGACATAATGAAACAGAACCAAACGACCAAAATACCTGGAGATAAGAAAGCTCTGTTGGAGAAAGCAGTTTCCTGGAAAGCACTGTACAAAACAAGCGCCCTCTATCTCTCTTCTTCTCTCTCACTCTTGCACCGAAAGATGTCTCTCTCTCTCTTACTTCGGAGAATGGTGTGGTTTGGAGATTAGTATTTAAAGATCAAGGAGCCTATTTGATGTGGGTCCCAAAAAGATTCTCACGATGAGTACGCTTGCTTTTAATCGGAGTCCCTTTTGACACGTAGATCTCTTGGCACGTTTGCATCCATTGCCGTTCGATTTGAGTACTTTTTACTCGTATTAACGGCGCTTTTTATCTGGTTTGACCCTCGCCTGATGAGTTACTGTTACCCTTGCAATGACAAAAGTAACCCTCGCATTGTCGTTTTATCTTGAGTTGTCCTCGTAAGTCGTAGGACACCAGTCAGTCACACCCTGCCATTAATGTCGTTTCTTGACCCTGGCCGATTCTTGCACTCCTTTTTTTTTTTTTTTTTTTTTCAAAATATCTTCTCTCTCTCTATTTTTTTTTTCCAAAATATCTTCTCTCCCTATTTTTTTTTCCAAAATATCTTCTCTCCCTATTTTTTTTTTCCAAAATATATTCTCTCTCCATATTTTTTTACCAAAATATATTCTCTCTCTATTTTTTTTTACCAAAATATATTCTCTCTCTATTTTTTTTTTCCAAAATATCTTCTCTCTCTTTCCGTTTCTCAGGAAAAAAAAACTCTCTTACTAATGACCGTTGACTATTATCGCTTTGGGTTTTGGTATACTAAAGTCACTAATAGGGCCTTTTCTTTAAAGTGAGCTTGCTTAAAAAAAAAAAACCTGAACAATTATACTAATAAAATGATCCCACGACTTATGATCTACAATTTATTAGTAGTGACACTTAACGCTAATAGTATTTTTAAACATTTTTTTAAGGAAAAGAGAGGGGGTTTAAATTATGTCGCTTGATTATATTTGATTCTTAATTACAGAGTTACAATATTTAGAAAAAAAAGGTAAAGAGTGAGTTTGAGAGTAGATGTTTGGTTCGTGTATTCAGAATTATGATTTAAAATTATTTTTGTTTTACGTGTATTTTTTATGAGAGAAAAACACTGTAAAAAATCATGAATCATGATTTAAAATCAGAGATGACTACAGAAAACAAATATCCTCTAATTAATTATAGACAGTCTTATTTAATTAAAGAAATGCAGAAAACATCATCTCTCTTTTCCGCAAAGATTGTGTTGGAAACAGAATCTATTTCTATTGATAGCTTATTCGGCATGCACAAATTTAACTATCCTATGAATTGGAGAACAAGGAGATGTTCATCGATCCATTTTTAGGATAATCAAGTAGTTATGCCGAGCTGGAATGCTTGTAACGGGTTTTGTTAAGTTGTTAGAATGAGTTTATTCCTCGTTCGTTTCGCTGATTCAAGTTTAAAATTTGAGTTTCGTTACAGTAAAAAGCTCTCACAAACAATCACATCTAACTTTTTTGCTACAATAAAAAACTCTCACATACAATCACATCTCAACTCGAATTCTAAACTCGAATCAGCGAAACGAATTGTTAGCCTTTCTGTTGTAATGTTATTTTTCAGTTGCTTTACTTCCTGGATATATAAAGGAAGTTATTTCTATACATACGTGAGATGAGAATAATACAATTCATAATTCCATCACATTCTTTTCTTTTTCTCTTCCTCTCGAGATATGTTCAGATTCGTAGTGTAAATTAAAGATTCAAACTCATATACATCTCGCCGATGGAGTATAATTATTTCTTCTAATTTTACAATTAATGGGATTTAATAATTGAAATCCAATATTAGAGAAAATCATACCCCGGTGAAATGTAATAAAAATTCTTTTTATTTCAATTGAAAATGCCATATCTGTCGAGGCACTAATTAACTTCCTCATGAACTTTTTTTTTTTTTTTAAACTTTCTATAAAGTTTTGCTTCAACTTGGAAATGCTGAAATTCGTTTCTATCAAAGAAAAAAAAAATCCGAGGGAAAATGCTGGATTGGATTTTATTCATATAGAAAAAACAAACGAAATCATCATCTTTCTACGGAGAGTCAGGATCTAACGAGAGCATAAGAATCTACTTGAATTGAAAAATGAATTTATGTGAGAATAAATACTGTAGCACAAAAAAAATTAATTTAATTAAATTTTTTTATAAAAAAGTTTGAGTTGTGATTTGAGCGGTAAAAAAATAGGTTATTATACACTCATCGGCTCCAAATAAGAGTTGAACATAAATGACGAAACTGCCCACCATGCAAGGCTTTTGTTATGTAGTGCAACTTCACCGAACACTCGTCAAAGATTCTCCGATAAAAAAGAAGCGGTAAGAATTGGCTCTAACCACTTCCATTTTCATTTTGATTTTATCAACAGTTTTTGTAATTTGGCTTTTGTTTCTACACACGTACGTGACACACATGCGTTGCCTCGGTCTCTCCGTAAGCACATTAAAATGATATTTTATTCCATGAATGAAAATATGAAAAAGGCATCTTCTCTCTCGATCAATTATTATAATTTTCAGCTGTCAGTTGATTTTTCTTTACTGTAACGTACTTGTCATTAATATCAATTATCAAAATTATAAAAAAAAAAAAGAAAAAAAAAAGAAAAGTGCTTGTCAATTTTTGTTACTCATGAACTTGAGCATTTTCGTCTAGATCATCCTAAAAGTTCTGTCATTTCCAGAACTAATTTTCATGCATTATTCCCATGTCCAAAAGTGTGAAAAGCATGTTTCATGCAAGAAAGTGATGAAGCTGGTTTCCAAGTATATATGGTTATCATACTTCTCTCTCTCTCTCTCTCCCCCTAAAAAAATCGTGTTCTACGATTTATTTTGTTGTGATTGGTTATTAGTTAAATGGCTAATATTAAACAAATTAAGAAGCAAACAAAAAGAGGAAAATAAAGGAAGCTAGTACTGAACGAGATTTTGCCAATATATATGCATGGAGGGATGAAGACGTTGAGGACTTGGTGTACTCAGTTCGGATATTGATAAAGATGGTTATATATATATATATATATATGTATATATATAGAACATTGAGGAAAGAATTAAGGCGAGTTCCAATTAGAGGATTGAGTTGTGGAAGAAGTACTATACATTAGTTCATGTCAATCACTCTCTGTATATATGTTATACGATTTTGAGATGAAGTTTTTGATATTTTATACATTGTTCTATCAGTACACTCGGGTGAAACATTTAAAGAGAAATAGTGTGCATCAAACTTCACAAATGAAAGATGCATGAAAGATACATCAAAATCAAGCGCATGGCGAATATTTATAATAAATGATTGATGAAAATCTGATGTTGATGGAAAATTCATAGCGCCAAGGCCACACAGAAAGACAAGTAAATAAATCATATGGACAAAAACTGAACCTAAACATGAAAGCAAACAAGACAAAAAGAACCACTAATCTTGATATAACCCACCCTTATTACCAAAAAATAAAAATAAATACCAAGAATCAATATATACTGTTGACGGCTAAATTTCTTCAACAGAAATACGCCGGGGTACCCACTGGTATCCTGTTAGGTTACCGGCTGGAAATTAACTGTGTATTTGAAATTATGCTATGAAGTGTTTGTTGTATTTTTAGAAGCATGAGAATAATGCTTGAATGAGAGGACACACGAAATTTATAGTGGTTCACTCTGTTAACGAAGAGCTACATCCACTTGTGTATTGTATTTCTTTTTTAGACGCTTACAATTTACATGTATCGTTATTCTTCCTCTTTTTGAATACTAAAGAAGCCAATAATCTCCTCCTTTGTAGGTAGAAGTACTCGAGTGACCTACCTTTCTAGGCTCAGACCGTAGCCCACTAATCACCTTTTGAACTATTCACTCAGCTAATTAGTCTTTCATTATAGCTCTGTGGATTCCTGTAATCCTTCACTGTCCACTGTAGGGCGGTTTAGGGGTTTGTAATTAATGCTTGTACTGCAGACATCTCCCATCCCTAGACGCAACTTGTGATGTCAGGCTCCTTTCTGAAGAGTATTCCCCTCGTCGTCTGCGCTGTGTAGACCGCATGCCTTTCCTGGCAGTCAACCCTTTCCAGACATAGGAATTTTGTTGCCATAAGATCGACGGCACGACTGGTCGATGGTATGCCGGGTCGATGCCCTAAGTCAGGCCTTCTTTGCAGCGTAGAAGGGAAGCGAGCTTCAAGCGTCGAGGGTTGTCGCCTTTTGAGAAAAAGTATGGCCATGTGTCACACTGTCACTGTTCCACATGTCACACTGTCACTGTTCCACATGTCACATATTTTCCCACACAACATATACCAAGAAGAACGAGACCCCTCAACATGCACCAAGAGAATCAAAGGTAGTTGGCAATTACGTGCGATGCCATCTGTGACGTAGTCAATTCGTAATGCCAGAAAATTGCCTTCCTGATCCAGCTCACCAAAACCTCTACATGGTAGGTAGGGGTGTAAGAAATCACCCCGAATCTGACTAACCCGGCCTACCCGATCTTACCCTACCTGAAATTATATTTTTTTTTTTTTTTTTTTTCGGTTTAAAATTAGCCCAACCTGCAATGGGCGGGTAGGGTCGCGGGTCAGGCTCCATTTACCTCGTGTAACCCTACCCGGCCGAAAAACACACTAAGTGTTAAAACAAAAAAGGAAGAAAGAGTCAGAGTAGTGAGAAAGTGCGAGAAAGAAAGAGAGAACGAAGAGAAAGAATGTGGATGAAGTGGTGTAAGAGTACTGAATTAGAGTTTTGTATTCGGCCATGGACACTCCAGTGAAGAGCCATTCCACCACTACTCTTTTCTCTTCTCAATTCAAGGTCAAAACTTCTTGCCCTAAAATCCATCCCCAAAAGTTTCGCTGGAAATTCCTTCCTTATTTATGCTTTTCTATTTTTGCACATCAATTTATTGCTTTTAGTTTTTAGTCTCCAAATCTAATTTTTTGCACTTAGGTTTCTCTGTACATGCTTGATTCTTCATTTTTTCCCCTTTAGTTGATTCTTCATTTTTTCCCCCTTTAGTTTTCCCGTTTTGGGTTTTACTGGAGCCAAATTACGTATTTAATTT